AAAATTGTCTATGTAGGTCCAGGTTTTTGTATAGGCCCCATATATCAGTACCTCCGTATATTCGGTATTTTGACAAGTTTAGGTACAATACAAACCGAAATTGTTTGAGATGTCGTATTTGATGTTCGTAATAGACCTGTGACAAAAAATTGTCTGTGCTGGTGCAGGCCTTCGCACAGCTCCGATGATTTTGATGATTTTAGCTACATTTTTCACCGTTTATTTCAAGTTTCGAATTTGAATATTGTAATGGCTTATGACAAACAATGCCTATGTAGGTCCACGTCGTATAGACCCCAAAATAACGGCTATATTCGGTATTTTTAAAATTTTAACAGATTTTTTTTTTTCTAAATTCGTTCCAAATGGTGAAGGGTATTCTAAGTTCGGCCCGGCCGACGTTACTGCTGTTTAACTTGTTTTTTCCATACATTCTTTAAAATTCAAAAAAATATTCTCAAAAACCCACGTTCCTTGCTGTGAAATTTCACTTTTGCAACTCTGATAATCTCTAAAAAGTTCTTATAAATCCACATTATGACTTCGATGGAATTCTTGGAAATCGAGAATATTCCTAAAAATCTCTAGAAAATATTCTAAAACGCTACGATTGTGGTTGTGATAGTCAGATCCACATTTGTGGATGTGACAGTTCTTAAAAATATATAATTTGAATATTCCTCCAAAAATATTCTAAAAAATCATTTATAATCGAAATTTTTCAAGGATCCTGGTTCTCTTATAATTAATCTTCAAAAATCCACTTTTATAGACCTAATAGTCAGTCTAAAAATATTTTTTACCAATTCGGTTCCTCAAAAAATGTTTTTTTTTTTTTAATTTTCCTTCAAAAATCCGCTTTAAAAGCTCTGATAGTCCTTTTAAAAAAATCAAGTTTAGGTTTCTGAACGTTCTCTAAAAACGTTCTTCTAAAATCCAGGTTTATTGATCTGATATATATGCAGATGTCACAATCTTCTAAAATGTGTTCTTAAAAATCTATGTATTCTGCTGTTTTTCAAACGTTTTTACAAAAATGCATGCTCTTAGTTTATTCTAAAAAATCCTCAAAATTTTTAGCTTTGGCGATCTTCAATAACATGTTTTTTTCAAGAATTCACATTTATAGTTCTGATAGTTTTCTTAAAAAGTCTATGCTTAATAATGGGGTGGAATTGGATGAAATTAGCGACATAACTAATTATTGTAAACGGTGCGAAATATAGGGGGTGAATAGTGTCGTTAAATCGTCGCAATACCGAATAAAAGGGAGGGTCAAACTAAAAAACTAAACATCCGACCGAATTCAGTCTAGAAGCAAGTAAATCAAATTGGGTACAAAATGGGTCCAGCTATAGCTATAGCTCCCATATATATGTTTCATCCGATTTGGTGTTTAAGTCCCTCACATTCGTAATATGTATTTGTCAACAATGATATTTCGTACCAGATATCTTATAGAGCTCAGAAATATCTTTGCCAAATTTTATCGAGATCGGCTAAGATTTGGGTATAGTTCCCATATATATATCCTTAATCCGATTTCAGGTTAATTGAGCAAATAATGGCTATTATCTGCCCAAATGGAGTGCATTTCCGGACGTACATTTCCATTTTGTGAAACTCGGCTCCGATATATATTTGTATACTCTCCACCATACATAGTGGAGGGTATATTGAGCTCGTCATTCTGTTTGTAACTCATCGAAATAATAATTTTAGACTCAACAAAGTATATATATATATATATTCTTCATCAGGGTAATATTCTAAGACGATTTACCCCTTTCCGTCTGTCCGCCTATGGCAATCGCGCTACAATTAAAACGAAAGGAAGTTAAATTTTTGCACAGATCTGTATTTTGTGTGCAGTCAAGTCAAGTTCGACGATGGACTATATCGATCCACGATACCGTATCTCCCCCATACAAAGGTACCCCCCGATATTCGGTATTTTGATGATTTTAGCCACATTTTTCAATGAAATTGTCTGAAATTCTACACAAGGAGTTTTTCTTTACCCCCTGGAAGAGAATTGTTTATATAGGTCCACGACATCGTATATCCCCCATATAACGGCACTTTCCAATATTTGGTATTTTTTTTTGATTTCAGCCAAGTTTTTCAATGGAATTGTCTTAAAATCCACACAAGGGTTCCTGCTGAGTACTTTATCCCTTAGAAGAAAATTGTCTAAATAGGTCCGCGTTTAAGTATAGCGCCCATATACGGTACCTCAAGATATTCAGTATTTTCATGAATATTGCGACTTTATTCACCGGAATTATTTCAAATTTAGCATATAAAGTTCGGAACCGTTACTACAGCCTATGACACAAATTAGGACCAATTTGAAATAATTTATTGAAAATAATTTTGAATGGGAAAAAAGCTAAAAATATTATTTTAGAATATATTTTTGAATATTTTCAAGGAAGCAAGGATTTTCAGAGTAATTTCAAAAAGGTTTTTAAAGCCTAAAATGTCGATCGTTTAAGAATATATTTTTGGTTTTTTTGACACTCTCAATATTTTAAAGAACATTTTTTAAGTAACTTCTCAAAGCCATAAACTTTTTTTTTTTTGAATAATTTGGGAGGGGATTTTAGAAAAAATTTTGAGGGACTATTAAAGACGGAATTGTGGATTTTTAACGATATTTTCTGGCGACCTATCAACCATAAAAATGTAAATTTTTCACGAATATTTTTTGAGCGATTATTAGAGCTTGAAATTCATTTTTTTAGAATAATTATGGAAAGGGTTCTTAAAAATATTTTCAAAGAGACTATCAGACTATCAGAATCGTTGATTTTCAAAGATATTTTAGACAATATTATGGAACCACGAACGAGGATTATTTAAAATTTAAAATTTTTTTAAATACTATCGGAGCCAGAAACTTTTATTGTTTTAAGAATATTCTTGAGGAGCCACATACGTGTATCCTTTGAGAACATATTAAGGGACTATTGAAGCCAGAAACGTGGATTCTTTAAGAATATCTTTTAACTATAAATATTTTATGAGTGACTATAAAAGTCAACAGTGTGAATATTTGTAAAAAAATTTTTGAAATACTATCCGACCTGCTAAGCGGTATTTCTTTCATTCAATGATTGTCTTTACACAAACTTCCAATATTAGCGCTCAATTTTATTTACGGAAATCTCCTCGAGATATGCAAAATGGGGTAGGGTAAAATATTGTTGGCCCCTGCTGACTTTTGTCCTTTCCCTACTTGTTAAATGTTGTCACTGATGCGCATACACAATATCATTACACATACCCCCCCAAACCACTTGATTTGTATACTCTCCACCTTAGTATGGAGGGTATATTAAGTTTGTCATTCCGTTTGTAAAACCTCGAAATATCAAGGAAAAATTAAAGTAGGTTGATAAATATTACTCAGATGTGTCTTTGGACTGCAGAATTTTTGGTATTGAAAATGGGCTACAGGTCCACACTTAGGTATAGCCTCCATATAACGGTACCTCCCAATATTCGGTATTTTGATGATTTTAGCGACATTATTTACCGGAACTATTTCAAATTTAGAATTTGAAGTTCGTAATGAATATTACAGCCCATGACAGAAAATTGTCTGTGCAGGGCGACGTCTTCGTTTAGCCCCCATATAACGGTACCTCCCGATATTCGGTACTTTCTTGATTTCAGCGACATTATTCACCGGAATTGTTTCAAATTTCGCATTTGAAGTTCGAAATGGATACTACAGCCTAAGAAAGAAAATTGTATGTTAAGGTTCACGTCTTCGTATAGCCCCCATATAAAGGCACCTCCCGATATTCGGTATTTTAATGATTTTAGCGATATTATTCACCGGAATCGTTTCAAATTTGGTTTTTGAAGTTCGTAACGGATAATGCAGCTTATGACAGAAAATTGTCTATGCATCTCCAGGTCTTCGTATAGCCCTCATATAACGGTACCCTCGGATATTCGGTATTTTAATGATTTTAGGGACAGTTTTCACCAGAATTGTTTCAAATTTCTTATTTGAAGTTCCTAGTGGGTACTACAGCCCGTTACAGAAAATTGGGTATGCAGGTCTAGGTTCCTATAGCCCCTATATAACGGGGTCTCCCTATATTCGGTATTTTCATGATTTTAGCGGAATTATATACAGCAATTGTTTTAAATTTGGTATTTTATGTTCATAATGGGTACTACAGCCTGTGACAGAAAATTGGGCATGCAGGTCTATTTCTATAACGGGGTCTTCCTATATTCGCTATTTTACTGATTTTAGCGGAATTATTCACCACAATTTTTCAAATTTCGCATTTGAAGTTTCTAGTGGGTAATACAGCCTATAACAGAACATTGCCTATGCAGGTCCAGGTCTTCCACCCAAATTAACGCTAACTCTCTGTATTTGGTATTTTTAATATTTAAATGGATTCATATTTGTTTTTTTGTTTTTTTTTTTTTTTTTTTTTGTGAAGCGTATTCTAAGTTCCGCCCGGCCGAACTTTCTGCTTTTTAATTTGTTTTTCTTATAAAATATCACCCACTGTGCGTATTATTACAACAAATGACTGGCGTTATAAACTTTTTTGTTGCTGCAAATATTGACAAAAAATAACAATATTTATGCAACATTTGCCACCAGCCAGTTTGACCATTGATAATTATGGAAATATCTGTCAGACCAACAAGCCAATCCGCCAGTCGGCAGCATGACTTGGTCATAAATGATCCGGGTTGAATTTCTTGTTATTGTTGTTATTTTACGGTAATGTTTGTTGTTTTTGTTTTACTATAATGATGACACTTAATATAAACGCTGGCTATTCACTTTAACCTATTGGCCAATATGGCCATTACCATGCAACATTTGCTGCCTCAGATGATGATGATGATGGCGCTGGCCCATGCTGGCGGTGTCACAATATTTCGGACCGGTAAGAGATTTGCCAAAATTGAAAAAAAAACTTAATTTTATATATGGCCCAAATGGCCTTCATACGAACCTCTTTGTTCACGCCGATGTTGCTGCTCGTCGATGGTAAAGCCAAATTTGTAAGGACGCACTGTTGTCGATTGCGCTGAGCATTGAGGCAGCAGAAAACTGCAGCACACTGCCGCAATGAACTTGAAATGAGACGATGAAATTTGAGAGGATAATTAGGGGAGGATGATTTTTGTTTTCTTTTTTTTGTTTGTGAGACTTACAACACTGGCAGTGCTTAGGTAAAGCCTTTGCATAATCTCGGCTTAAATGTAAAGAACTGGAAATTTTTCTGAATTTTTTGGAATTTTTAGATTTTTTTTTTTTCAATTTTCTTTTGCAATTTTAATTCCGAGTCGTAAACATAAGTTTTAATTAAAAATCACGGTTTTCTATTTTTGTTTAAGTCTAGGTTCCACAAATCTGCCTCACTTTTGTTGTTGTTTTTTTATTGATTCACTTATTACGTTTCGTTTGTTTTTGTAATAATTTTAATAAATATTTTCTTTCTTTTTTTTGTTGTTGTTTGTTGTCTCGTTATTCCTTTTTGGAAGCTGGCCACTTGTGAAACACACCTTACGACTGCCGTTTCGATATTGACTGGGCTCAGAGCATTAGGTAAACATTTTAAAACATTAGAATCGTAAAAAATCTGTTTATAGCCTCTTAAACAGCGAAACATCTCCTCACACAACACCAGCACCACCACAGAACAGCCCCACAAACGGGTGGTGTGGTGGAGATTCTCTATCTCAGGCTGTCTATGATGGCAGATGCCACCATACCGCCTACCCCAGCCATTGTTTTTTACTGTTTTTTTCTTAGCGGTTCTGGCTAGCAAAAATGTCAGGCTACTCTAATGTTTTAGCATTAAAACTCACGCATACATCGATAATTGTGCATAACGTATTGCTGTCACATGGAAATCGTCGTTGATAACTCATTGAGTACGTCTGTCAGAGCTTAGAACTTTGAGAGATTTTATGGGCTGCAAAATTTTTGAATAATTTTCTTTTCTCTTCTCCGGCAGATAATTTATTCGTCCGATAGAGAATATCACCTGGTTAATACCAGGTCTCCAATTTGTTGTCATTTGAATTCGATTTTCGTTTTTGTTTATTAATAAGCGTTTTGAACTTTTTATTTGAAATTATGAATTAATTAGATTAAGAAGGCAGGGATGTCTATGATTGGAGATGAAATTAATTGGGGCCAGTTGTTTGCTAGGCCTTTTTATAGAGGCAGGGAAGTCTATGAGTAAAAATAAGTAAAAAACTGTAAGTTCAGACGGACCGAACTTTAAATACCTTCCACAATTTGGAGCTAATTTGGCAATTAAAAAAAATAAAATCCGTTTAAAATTGTATTAAAATTTTAAAAGTATCGAATGTAGCGATTATATTAGGATCTGTACGACGACGTAGATCTGCATAGGCAATCTTTGTCATAAGGCATGACAATATTCAAATACGAAACTTGAAAAAAAAAATCGGTGAATAATTCAGCTAAAATCATCAAGATATAGGGAGATCCCTTTATATGGGGGCTATAACAAAACGTGGACCTGCACAGAGAATTTTTTGTCTTAGGCTGTAGTATCTATTACTTCAAATACCAAATTTGAAGCAAATCCGGTGAATAAAGTCGATAAAATCATAAAAATACCGAATATCGGGAGGTACAGTTATAATGGGGGCTATACGAAGACGGGGACATGCACAGACAATTTTCCGTCATAGGCTGTGGTATCCATTACGAAGTTCAAATACCAAAATAGAAATAAATCGCTAAAACCATCAAAATACCGAAAATCCGGAGGTACCATCATATGGGGGCTATACGAAGACGTGGAACTGCACAGACAATTTTCTGTCCCATGCTGTAGTATCCATTACGAACTTCAAATACCAAAATTGAAACAATTCCGGTGAATAATGTCGCTAAAATCATCAAAATACCGAATATCGGGAGGTACCGTTATATGGGGGCTATGCGAAGACGAGGACATGCACAGACAATCTCCTGTCATAGGCTTTAGCATACATTATGAACATCAAATACCAAATTTGAAAGAATGCCGGTTAATAATGTCGCTAAAATCACCAAAATACCGAATATCGGGAGGCACCGTTATAATGGGGGCTGCACGAAGACGGGGACCTGCACCGACAATTTTCTGTCTTGGGCTGTAGTATCCATTACGAACTCCAAATACCAAATTTGAAACCATTCCGGGGAATAATGTCGCTAAAATCGTCAATATACCGAATATCGGGAGATACCGTTATAGGGTGGCTATAAAAAAACGTGGACTTACATGGCCCATTTTCGATACCAAAAGTCCTGCAGACATGATATACATTTGAGTTTCGAGGTGTTACAAATGGAATGACAAACTAAATATACCCTCCATACTGTGGTGGAGGGTACAAAAATTGGAACAGAATAGATATTGGGGCCAGTTGTTTGCTAGGCCTTTTTAAGTGGAAGCAAATATGAAACTCAAAAAAAAAAATCCCAAAAATTCGGAAGATTGGTCATATGTGTTGGGCTATCTATATAACCCTAGATATTGAGGTATTTTAAGGAATTCGCTGGAATTACCTCCACTTAGAATTTTTCAACCTCCAGACAAAATTGGTTGGGAAATGGGCCTGGTAGGTACCGTTATATGGGGACTATAGCAAAATATATACCTATTCTGAAAATGTTCCTAAAGTAGACTAAATACAATTTTTTAGCCAAATTGTTAGAGAAATATGGCCAAGACCCTCATAACGGATAAAATCTGGATGTATCTCTATTTGGGCTCTACTCCAAAATATTGAACTACATTGAAATTTTTTTTTCGAATAGGTTTTCTACCCTCTTAAAAAACAAGATGCCAAATAATGGCCAAATCATTTGAAATGTGTTGCCAAGACACCGGATTTATCTGGTATCAGGTGATACCTTCATGCGAGGTTTATACCAATTGATCATTTTTTGCAAGGATTGTTCCTTACAAATAACTCAAATTACCAAAATTTGCCGATATAAGTATAAAAAGAGTAAAAAAGCAGCTAAGTTCGGCTGGTCCTAACTTGTAATACCCTCCACCCTTTTGAAGGAACTTGAAAAATTTTAAAAAAATTCCGTCAAAAAATAAATTATTGTATGGTAGCTATACGAAGACGAGAACCTACATTGACAATTTTCCGTCATAGGTTGTAGAACCCTTTGGAACCCTTTCATATACAAAGTTTGAAATAATTCCTGTGAATGCTGTCGCTAAAATCATCAAAATACCGAATATCGGGAGGAACTCTGTACGAAAACGCGGACCGACTTGGACCATTTACGAACTGAACCTGCCTACTGGCAAAATACACATCTGTGCGAAATTTTAGCCGTATCATTCAATTCGATCGAAATATAGCGTGATAAAAACAGAGAGACGGACATCGCTAAATCGACTTAGAATTTTACGTTGTTGGGTTTGACATGAGTATTTCGAGGAGTTACAAACGGAATGTCAAACTTAATATATCCTCCATTAGTGTGGTGGAGGGTATAGAAATATGAAAAAAATACTTGAAATCGGGATATACACTTATATGGGGGCTATACCACAAAGTGTACCGACATAATCTATATTTTGCTGAGATGTGCTGAGATACCATCACCTCCACTTGGAATTTCCCACCACCCCATATCATGATCCTAAAATTGTCGCACAGTGTAATTCGTAAAAAAAAATAGTTTCAATTGTTAGGCCAATTGTTTTCATTACATTGTCTAAACAAATCTGTGGTCTTTTAATAATGTTCTGTACAATATTTGTAAGGGGCTGGGGTCCTGAAAAATTTTTAGGATCAGCGGGTTTCCATAAGTTGTAATAAAAGTAATTTTAGGCCTCAAATAACCACGGGTCCGAGAAATGTTCTTTAAATTTTCAGTTTGAAAGGTATTTAACAAATATTATTAAATTTTATTTTTACAAGTTCGAATGGGCTAAAAATTATGATTATTCCGGACATTATTAACAATGTTCCGTCAAATGTGGAACATGAAAAAATTTCCACAACATTTTATTTGCCCCGGGAATCTTAAAAATCTTCAAAAAATTCGTAGACACCATAGCCATATGGCTACAGAGGGTACATATCATTTGATACGGCCAAAACGTGCCTAATCAAAATAACGGTTTAAGACCCAGGTATCTTTGGACCAAATCCGTTTCATGACATTAGGAATCGGACTAGAGATATTTTTTCATCCGTCCGTCTCTCTGTCTGGTTGGTGCGCGCGATAACTCTCAAACGGATTATCCGATTTAATCCAAACTTGGTACATCGTAATATTAATAAGAAACATAGATCGAGTTCAGAGATGGACAGTGTCGGTCCACTCCTGGCCCCCGCAAAGGGCTAATATTTTCAAAAAAAAAAAAAAATAATAATACTTTAAAGAAAGAAAGAGAAATGATTATCCAATCCTAATATTTGCATCAATGCTTGGTCAGGCGAGAATATGGACAATATCGACCCACTCCATCAAGTACCTCCCCCACAAAGGGTCAACATTTTGAATATTTTTAACTCTTATAAAATGTGATGTAAGAGTCCGATTGTCTTCAAATAACACACATAACAATGTTTTTATTTACCCAATGTCTGGTGTAAAAATATCGTTCCACTCCTTCTGGTACCTCTCCCACAAAGGGACAAAATTTTGAATATTCATGAAGCTTATAAAACGCGAAATCAACATCCGAATCCATTCAGACTTGGGACATCTCAATATTTCTATCAACACAAGATTTGTTATAGAAATGGTAGAGATCGAAACATTTCTTCTGGTATCTCCCCCTACAAAGTGTCAAAATTTTGAATATCCAAAACGATCATAAAATCCGAAATAAACATCCGGTTCTCTTCAAAATTCACACATTCTATTATTTTTTTAACACATTATCTGTTGTGAAAATAGGATATATCGGTGCAGTATTTCTGATACTTCCCCCACAATGGTTTCAAAATTTTGAAAAACAAAACGCCCATAAAACACGAAATTAACCTCTAATTCTCTTCAAATTTCACACATCCAAACAGTTTTGCAAACGCAAAATCCAACCCGGTACTTCAAGGTTCCCAATTTTCAATACTTATATTTGTCATAGTTCGATTGGCTATATCTGGTACCTCTCGCATATTTCCACATTTTCCCAAAATTTGCACATACCGCATATAAAGTATAGGAACTGGACGATATGGTCCAAATATGGCAAGTTGTAATATATATATCAGACTTAGGACAGATATAGCCAGAATAATCATAACTCAAGGCTGGGGATATTCATCTGTCGGCAAAACCGACTGATACTACTTAACTTGTTTTATATCGAATCAGCCAAGACTGTTATGTTAACCAGGGAGACCTGTCCTGTTTGGCTAAAAAATTCAAATTAAATTTTTGAATTCTTGTATCTAATATAAAATTTGCTCCTAGGTGATTAGTATCTAACTAAGCCCAAACTACAGTTATTTATAATAATTTTGTACAAATTTTCAAAAAGCCTTCGACATTTCACCTATTTTTATGAATGTTTAACTTCCGAGATAATTATTTCAATTTTTATTTCCCTTACACTAATTTTGCAAAAGATTTCAATTTTAAACTCAAAACCATCTCCTAATTAAGACATCAAAACATGAACTCAAATAAAGATATTATTTTCCGCACTTGTTT